TATATGAAGTGGGTGTTGATTGTGAAAAATCGGTAAAGCGTAAATTGGAAGAAGATTTAGGAGATCCATCTATGGAATATGAACGTAAAAAGAAAAAATAATTATTGCTAAGTAAGCCGAAGAGTTGATTGTTTTTGAATTACATGTATATACATATATTAAGTAATAAGATGCAAAGATAACATGAATTTGTTTTAAGAAATAAATAGAAATATTCGGTTACACACTTGTTGTTCAAACACTTCTGATGAAATAAACAAACAGTTTCTGTATTTTCAATAAAAAAGAAAAAAGTTGATAATTCCGTAATGATCGATTTGTGTAATCAAAAGAAAACGCATTTATATTTTTAAAAAAATCCACTGAATTTTCATTCAATTGTTTTGTTTTTATTACCGAAATAAGAAAATATTCGTTCGTCAATCAAATATTTTGTTTTTGTTTCCTTGCTTCTTCTGCTGTTTGGAGTGATTTACAACAAAGCAATTCATAGCAATTGGAATAAATAAGCAATTGGCGATGATTCCATTATAAATTAACCTAATTGTTTTTCTGTTTTAGATAATGAGGTTGTTGCTGCATTGAATGAGTTTAAATATTTTCGTCATACAGTGGCGTTGCATCGCCGAGAGTCATTGATCGGGGCGAGGTATCGGTGCGCGGCGTACTTCGAACGGAACGTGGACTCTTGCCACTTTGATACTGCGTTTGTTTGCTCTTATCATCGAAACGTGGGGTATTCGATTTCCTAGAAAATGAAGTCAAAAGAGTTGATTATTATTGAAAATGTTATCTATTGCGAAAAAAACTCAGAAAAATGCTTAATGATTGATATCAGAATGATTGATTTTTTTTCGAAAGTTCGAACTTACGATGCAACTTGAGCTTCCCAACTGGCCGATGCTTCATCCCAGTCATCTTCGGCCGAATACGAAGATTTGTTGTTTTGTCTGTAAAAATCCATAAAATTCCATTAATTCCAACTCAGATCAGCCGGTAAAAAGTTAAAAAAAAAATTTCATTCCCTCTCAACACTTACTTTGGTGTAGTCCTTTGCGTTGGTGTACCATCCCAATCATTGTCCCAATCGTCGTCACCGTTGCTTGCGCTTGGTTTCGAATACGATTGGCTTTGATGGTGTGACCGGCTGCTGTGCGATCCTTGTGTCGGTGTGTATCGGTTCCGAGGACTAGGCACGTGAGGTGAAGAGCGATGCGAATTGCGTGGCCGATTTCCACCCGCATATTGTTGATTCTGTGAGCTCGAGTGATTTCCTTGATACTGATTCGATCTCGGTCGATTTTGTGCGGGTGGTTTTGGATGTGCAAACACCGCACTTGGCGTTGATTGACCGTATCTTGGCGTTTGCGCTGCATGATGTGGAGTTTGATACGGGGTCATAAACGGTGTTTGACCACTTGGTGTGTACGGAGTATTTACGTACGATGATTGTCCACCGTAAGCGCCAGGAGTATGTGGATAGTGTGGTGTTTTATTTGCCACTTGACTCAGGGAATGTAACATATGCGATGGTAAATTACGTGCAACCTTATTGATTGCTTCACTAGCATAGCTGGTCTGCGTAATATTTGGTGTGGCAAACGAGCTACGGGTACTGCTTGCGACCGAACCGCGCGGTGTAATTGATGGCGTTGCCGTTGGAATTGGATCTTTGAAATGTTCTTTGAACCATTTGAGTAGTGAGTTCAACGATTCGAATGTTTGTTGACGGAATCGAAAACCATCGGGTGTCACCGAAACGTATTCATGACGGATTTTACCGCGTGGCAAATATGAGAGCAGGAATTTTCCCGGATAATTCTTCGATGCTGATAAGAAATAGTGAATTTTGTTCGCATTTTTCTTCTTTTCCTCCTTCAATTTCTCCTCCATTTTGTCCTTCATGCCGCCGGCTGCATCGTAATAGTACTTGTAACCGAGTAAATCTCGAGCATACTGTGCCATTGGTGTTACGTGACGAGCGATAATTTCGTCCAAGTCTTCGAATTCATCGTTGCCAATCCAAAGTGATGAGCCCAAGCTAAACACATTCTCTTTGCCCTCTTCGCGAACATCGATGTGTTGATAAATATCGTTGGCCACTTTCCATGTCACCGTCAAATGATCCGAACCCTTACTTGATGGTCGAATAATAACTTCACCTTGATCCATGGTGGCCATAATTTTAATCGCTTCCGCATACGATTTATTATGGAATGCCGGATGCACAATGATACGTTTCGTGTACTGTTGACGAGCTGTTTGTTTTTTGCTCTCATCTTCCTTTCGCATTTCCTTTTCTTCTTGTTCGTGATCGTAGTAAGTGTCTTTCTTCGGCCGCCATTCATTGTTGCGATCCAACAAATCCGAGCTTTTTGACGAACAATCGACACTAAAACGTTCATAATCAATTTTGGTTATCCTACAATGAATTGCTTGGCCAATGTGTACCCGTTCCTCGGGATGTTTCACATGTTTGTCGGACATATTTTTCAAATGAATAAAACCAGTGAGGCCATTTTCAAGTACAATCCTAATGCCAGATGCTTGACCAGGACAAGCGCCGGCATCAAAATGATTCCACACCTCGGCCAGTTCGGGGAAGTCATTTTTCAAACAGAATGGACACTGCCACAGTCCAGTTTCGGCATTCTTCTCTGGATCGGCATTGTCGAGTTGTTCGCCTTGCGGTTTGCGGTGCACCACACCAATCACTTTGGCCAACACCAATTTGCCCACATAGAATGTGTTTCGCGTTTCTTTTGTCAGCACTTCAAACATTTCTTCGCGACTGAGCGGTTTGTAGGGCGGTCGAAGATCTTTGTACCGTGAATTTAATTCGTTTCTAATGTCGTATAAAGTGATGCTCTTGTTACCGAAACCTTGCCGTTCAAGTTCAACGGCGAACGCATCCAAATCCAAGTCTTTTAAACGTTCCGGCGATTCAAGAATTTCCTCTAATGCACCGGCCGGATTGGTTTCATCATCATCATATTCCAATGCATCGACGGCCATTTTTCGTGCCCATTCATATGTTTCCGGATGCACTCTTGAACCATCCAACACTTCGACATATGTTTCGGTACTATCACCCAACGAATTCGTATCGATTTTTATGAAACCCGAACAATTGATGAACACTTTTGGGCCCATGTGACAATGTGTAACTAATTGTGTTCGATTTTCAAGCCGTTGATTGGTTTGCTTTAAGATTTTCAGCAGTGCTTGACCTTTACGCGGACCCAAACCGCAAATGAACTGCACCAAATTCATGGTCAAGGAATTTTGCACCGCCAAATTCATATCGACCCCAACTTCATTGGTTCGATTGACAAATTCCAAATTGAGCGCATCCATTAGGTCCTCCTTCAGCAATTGATCTTGCAGTGGGTGATAGCGCAAGCACAAAATTTCCTCATCAGTTGTGCACAGCTGTGAATATTCGACGAGTGGATCTTGAAGTCGTCGAGCTATTGAGATGGCTTGACGCAGGATGATTGGGTATTCACGGAAGTCGGCATTACCTTTCTTCGAATTAGCATAGACTTTTGCCAGGTCATTGTTGATAATTTCAACAGATACTTCTGGGAATTGATCTTCATCAACCAGATATTTGATCGCCTCTTGTAAATCACGTTGCACTTTGAGTGATTTCATCGATTCGCCGCCGACGACAATGACATGAGGTTTTTTGTTCCGCAGGAAATTCAGCATTGCCGATGTGTCTGGCTCTTTTTCGTCTGGTACGAATTTGCCACGTCTTGATGTGAATTTTGGTAAACGTAGGTAATCAGTCACTTCGCCATCGGGGCTGATTATTGCGGCGAATGCGGCTTGCGATGGATCGTCATCAAATGCAATGCCCATCACACGAACACCTTTCGCTGTTTCCCATTCGTCATCATCCTCATCTGGGAAGTTGACCGTGTACGGTGCTGGTTTAATCCAATCGCACAATCGCTGAGCACAGGTGGTTAACACATATTCTTTGGCCTCGGCCAGTAAAATTGATCTCAGTTCTTTTCTCAAGTCAGGCAACACCATTTTGGTGATTGCCTCTTCAACACAACTCGAACGCAACGCATTCCATTCTTGTACGTTTTTCGAGAATTCGTCACGTTGATAAAATTGCTTCACCTCCTCCAAGTAGGAAGACGACGTGTTTCCTTCGATCGCTTCGGATATTGTGATTGTAATCAATTTATCCTCTTCGGCCATGCACAATTTCAGAAATTGATCGCCACTCAATTCACGGACGGGTTTGTTTTTTATGTACTTCATGCCGTAGACCGCATGATTTTCGTCGATTTCTTTCTGGCCTTGTTTCGTTGGTGCGATTGAGATTTTGGCACGCTCGAAGTACACTTCACGTACACTCTTGCGTAGCATTGGTTCGCGTGAGATTTGGCGAGCGACCACGAATTTTACAGCATGCAGAATTTCATCAACGGTTTGAAACCGTTTGCTGACATATTCTTTGGCAACTTCATGCGTTTCGAGTGCTTCTTGTTCGACATCATGACGCTGGTAGTTATCGCGTAAATTTTCGGCAAACTGTTCAGGCGTTAAACCGAATCGCTTGGCAAATCCCAAGATACCAGCTTTGCGGCACATTGAATATGGACCGGAATCTCTGGCCGATTTGATCGTTTCTTCGACTTGATCTTCTTCATCGTCTTCTTCGGGTATCTCTTCGGGCGGTTCAGCACCTTCTTCCAACATTTCAAGTTGCTTTCGACGCGCTTCAGCACGTTCCAATTTGCGCTTCTCTTTCTCTTTGCGACGCCATGACTGTTGCATTTCGGGTATTTCATGTGCATAATGAAGTAGGAAATGGGCGTGGACATCTTTCAGTTCTTCTGGTGTTTGCACCATGTGCAAACGATCGATGTCATCGTCTTTGATCAGTCGAACATCATCGGGTATCGCATTGTCTGGATTATCCATCAATTTATCGAGCTGATAGTTTCGCATCTTTTCAAACAATAACGCCAAATTCTTCTTACGTGTACGCAACTGACACCATTTTGAATCGAACTTGTACACTTTCCACAAATCATTTATGTCCAACTCTGGCCGAACGTATTCCTTCCGATAGAAAGCAATGAAGGGCACTTCAAGCTGCTGATTACGCATGAAATCAAGCGCTTGCTTTATTTTACCGATAGCACTTGGTGGTTTACTAGTTTCAGAGTAATCATCGCTTGATCGATTCGAAACGGTGGACTTTGTGAACGCTTGTTTGTATATCCATTCAGCTTCGTCTTCTAACTCGTTTGAGTTCTCTGGTACAGCCGAAATTGGGATATCACGCAATTGAATACGCTCTGGTATGTCCGTTTTTCGAATCTGATGAAAGAAACATAGTCAATTAGGTGCGATTGATTTGATTTTAAAATCAGATTTGTCGAGAAGTTGTTGCAAAACCACAACAAAACTTCCGAAAATGACGTTTCAATTCAAATTTCATTGGACATCATTAAAATTTACCTCATTGTCAACGTCGGTGAAGTGACCACGTTTCAATTCGCTCGGTTCGTAGATTTCGAAAATGGATTTCTTGGTGGTTTTCTTTTTGGCAGCTTTCTTTGGCCGTTTTTCACGTTCTCCATCCGCACCCTCGTCTTCGTAATCATCTTCAGCCTCCGATTCGGATTCATACTCGTCGCCGTACTTCTCGAATTCATCGAAATCAAAGTCGACACCGAAAATATCTTGACCCTCTTGCAGATTGACATCGCTGAAAATTCGACGAGCCTAAAATTGTACGAAATTATTTAGAAAATCCGGTAATTTTTTTTTTGAAAAATGAAGAATATTCAAGATAATTGTAAAAAATAGGTCAAAAAATACCAATTATGGTTTCCATTCTCTTCTGAGCGCTGCTCCAAAAATGTGCTGGTTTATTTAGGTTATGTTACCATTTCAACAAATGACAAGTAACTTTTCATGAAAAGGCAAAAATGTTGAAAATATGTTGACATTTCCTAAAATGGTAGCATAACCCAAATGCGCCGGCTCACTTTCAGACCACCGCTCAGATGAAAGGCAACTAGCCTCCAGTAGACGCTGAATCAATGAAAAATACGTACCTTCTTCTTTTTCTCGGTAATTGGTCGGCCGTCATCATCGACAATAAAATCATCCGCATCGGATTCTTCATCTTCGCCTTCCTCATCGTATGCAACTTCCATGCGATGTTCTTGTGCCGATCGTCTGCCTTCTTCATCCTGTGTATTGGTTAGAAAAAAACTTGGTTGACTATTTGCTCAATGTGGCCTTTCCAATAATCCGCTCCACATGTTGTCCTCATATGGATCAAACTCTCAGTGCATGGGCACACATTGTACAAACTTCTTTGAAACAATAAAATGAAATCGTTTTCTAACAAAAACATAAATTCCCAGAAAAAAAATTGTCGAATGAATCGTTTCAATCGTTTTTGTCTCAAACCAGAAAAAAAAATCACACACTTAAAAAAAATTCCGAATCATATTAAATTTTACCTCCAAAATTTCGTCCTGATTTTTGTTATTTTTGTGGTTTGAAAGCATGAAAATGATGCGGAAAAAAAATTTGTTGAAGAATTTTTTTTTATTGTTTTCAAATTATGCCGAAAAGTGTGAATAGGGAATCAACAGACAAGCACAATAAGTTAGTCCATGTAATAAAAAAAAACACAATCAAATTAATATAATAAGCGTGATTAAAAATTGGCTTGCTAAAATCAATACAAAACTTACCTCATCGCCATCAAACAACTGGTTGGCAATATTATCACGGTCCTTGTTACTATCATCCTCACCCTCGTCGTCGCTGTCTTCGATTTGCATACGTTTCAGACGCTTGAACCGTTTCTACATTGGAAAAATATCAACAAGAAGATTAGAAAAACGATTCAAAGCATGAAACACCGAAAAAGAAGATCCAATCAATGCATAATAGGCTTACCTTTCGTTGCACTTTTACGCCCAAATTTTCTTCGAGCAAGTCGTAGTCATCGTCTTCCAGTCGATCATCTAATTCGTCGTCACTGCGACTTTTGCGTTTTTGACGTCTTGATCCATCCGAATTTTCGCCATCGCTGTCTTCTTCGATTGGATTGTCATCGATCAAATCCTGGCAAAAGAAAAAAAAACAATTATTGATTTATATGAAAACGATTGCAATTTTTATATTCTTTGTAACCCACATCTAATTCTTCTCGCATACGATCTTCATCATCCTCTTCGTCTTCCTCACTGTCCGACATTGCTTTTATTTTTTTCAGCTTTTTACGCTCATGAGGCTCCAAGTCTTCATTTTCTGAATTCTGAAAATCGAAAATGAAATCAACGTATCAATAGTGTACTAAAGGAGGTTAGCAAGTCAAATTGCGCGCTAACAAATATTAGCCGATTTGGTGTTGTTTTTGCTCCGAAACATAGATGTCGCAGTGTATCGGCATTGACTAATGTGCCAAATGCATCTAATACGTATTCACGTACAACATTTTCTATGGCAATGAAACATCATGCAAAATTCCATACAACTCAACGATTGATCGGAGCTGTATTTGAGCAATTGCCAAGCGGTTTAAGTTTTTATCAGGCTTTCTGCTTGCTTTTGGTTGACTTTGATTTGGTTCACATTCAATGTACAACGCAAAATCATTGAGCGGTTTGTTGTCTACTGTCACAGCACAAAAGCCTCAATGTGCAAAGAGGCGACACTAAATCCATGTAAATAACAACAATTTCCCATTTGAAATGGAATATTTTTGCAAATAATTCAAGCAAAGCACATCATATTCTTAATGCACACTTTGTTCTGGAGCATGCGTTCGATTTAAAACGCATTTTTCGATGATAATTGGCATTGTGAAATTTCAGTACAAACTTACATCGCTTTCGGAGGCTTCGGAATCGATGAAATCGGCCATATTTCTGTGTAAAATCTAAAATCCTAATTTAACACACCAACAAAATGGTTTCTGAACAGAAAACTGTATTTGCTACAATTTTTTGTCGATATTTCCACGATTTATCACTAAAACGCACTAGAGACAGGAATTTTATGCCGAGCCAATAAAAAAATGGAATAATGTCTACCACTACAGATGCGATGCTCGGTGAAACGTCAAACCGCAGTTGAAAGTACTAAGAAAAACCATTGGCGGCTGTGTTGCACGATGCGAACCAAAGGAATGATTCGTTTGAAACATGTTCAATTTGAAATATTTTTAGGAAATACATTTCAAAGAATCTTTTTTCCAAATTCATTTTCTAACATTTTTCTATTTTTGTCGATGGTTTTCAACCATTTTTTTTTTGCAACAAGAATACAATTATTTCAACCTACCAGCTTTAATCCATTCGAAACGGTATGTTCTAAAATTCTTAGAATGAGAAAAGAGGTGCCACCTTTTTTTGGTTGGTGGTCATGACGTAGGAATCATTGACAGTTAGCCGCTGTATATCAGTCTCTCAGTTTGACTGCTATCGTACGCAGTAAATTCAAGTGATTTCAATCACACAAAAACACTGCGATTGAATAATAAATGGCCAAATTCCATTATACTTTGAACATATTTGTGCATTGAATTTCGATTTACAAACATTGTGGAGAGTGTAAAATACACTGAGATTGCAGCAACAATCTAAGCAAACATTGTTTGGTCATTAAATACTCACTGTAAGTTATGGCTACAAATGCACTAGCGTCGCAACGGGACTTTGGTGCACTTTGTTATTATTATCAATGGCATTTTTTTTGGTTTGCAATTTTGCGTCTAATCACTTTGGCATTTTATTTTCCAGGTGTTTTTCGATTGTGTTCAGAGACTAAAATTAATTATCAAAATGAATGACAATTTTTCAATGAAACGAAGATTCAACGGTGGTGCAACGTTGAGTGAAGATAGTAGCGAAGATGAGACGGATTTCGTTGAGCCACCGCCAGCGAAGAAACAGTTTGAGAATTATTCGTCGCCAGCGCTGCGAATGATGCAGAAAATGGGCTACTCCGGTCAAACTGGTCTGGGTAAACAAGAACAAGGGCGATTAGAGCCAGTTGAAGCTTCTACACAAAAAGGGCGTCGTGGTTTGGGCTTAAAATTGGATGGCTTAGATTTGGCTGCACAAAAATGGACACCCGATATGGAAAATATTCAATTAAGTGAAACAGTCGATTTTATTTCCGATTATTCCGATGATTTAGAAACCAAATCGTACGATGAACTGAGAGCGTGGATGGTTGAAGGGCCGAAAAAATTGACCATTGACGATGAGACGAAATTTTGTAATCCAAACGTTCTGCGAAATGTGTTGGCTTCAAAAACAGTATTCGATAACTTGGGAGCCGATGATATGAGAAATGCCCGTACAAGAAGCAACCCATTCGAAACCATTGGCAGTGCGATATTCCTGAATCGAGCCGCTGTTAAAATGGCCAATTTGGATGCATTGTTTGATTTTATGTTCACGAATCCAGTCGATGAAGGCGAGATGCCGCTTGTCAAAGAAAATGAACTGCTATATTTTGCTGATGTTTGCGCCGGACCGGGCGGTTTCTCGGAATATGTACTGTGGCGCAAGAAATGGGAAGCCAAGGGATTTGGTTTCACACTGCGATGTGAAAACGATTTTAAGCTGGACAAATTTTTGGCTGGTCATCCAGAAACATTTGATACGTACTATGGTATTAAGGGCGATGGCAATGTGTACGATCCAGACAACATCGAGTCACTGACGGATTATGTGCTGAAACAGTCTTCAATGGGCGTACATTTTATGATGAGCGACGGTGGCTTTTCGGTCGAAGGACAAGAAAATGTTCAAGAGATCCTATCAAAGCAATTGTACCTGTGCCAATGCCTCACAGCACTGTCTATTGTCCGCGTCGACGGTCATTTCGTTACGAAACTCTTCGATTTGTTTACACCGTTCAGCGTTGGACTCATTTACTTAATGTACAAATGCTTCAAGAAGATTTGCATCGTCAAACCGAACACCAGTCGACCAGCGAATTCGGAGCGGTATCTAGTGTGCAAATGGAAGAAATCAAACACCGAGGCAATTCGACAGTATTTGTTCAATGTGAATGAACATCTCTACGATAATGGTAACACCGATTCCGACATCAACGAATTGGTTCCGCTTGAGGTGATGCAGAGCGATGAAACATTTTACAACTATATTTGTGACACCAACAATGTGATTGGTGACAATCAAGTGGTGGCCCTATTGAAAATCGCTCACTATAGCCGAGACGTAAATTTGAAGGAGCCACGACAAGAGGAGTTCAAAAATAATTCATTGGGTATTTGGAACGTTCCAAACGAAATGCGAAAGGCACCAGTGAAACCAACTCCCGAACGACTGTTTGAAAATCTACTCAAAAATTGGTACAAAGAGAAAGAATTTATGAATTCGGAAGAGCGTTGCCTAACACTTAAGAAACGATTCAAAGACACATTTTTCGATAAAACCGATTGGGCATTCGTTCCGATTGATGTCGTTGAGAATGTGGGCAAAACGATACGGACGTTTTTCATGAGCAAAGGCAATTCAGATGTCTACAAATACACAGAGCACCATACATGGGTACCATTAACGGAGATATTCATCGAAATCACACCAAACACACTATTCTACGGTGAGATAGTGAAAGAGTTAACAGGCGAAGGTGGTGCACAAACCATGGTGTACGCAATGCATATAATTGATGGCATCGTTCTCGGTGGCACCGACATTCGAAACCACAAACTGGAGAAACGCAATCGATTGTGTCGAAAATTTGCCGAATCACTTAACAAGCCACAGAAAGTCATCGGCACAAATAGCGATCGAGTTCAATGTACGGCAGCAATTCGATGCAAAACACTTCATTCGTTGCTCGATCTACGACGTTTTTTCGGTTCACTCGATTCATACCGATTGAAAGACAATAAAATACGGCTCGGTCATCTGGTTCGCGATCTAATGAATCCAAATCGATTCTATGTGCCGCGAGGATTACTGTTCTTCAAAATCCTCAAACCAAACCTATGCAAAAGATTCGATGCACACCGTCAAGATTACTACTACACTGACCTTGCCACAAACAAACACTTTTGGCTCAAAGATATCCCGGATCCAGACGCGATTTACAGTTCGTTCAAGTCAACATTTCCGCACCGCAAGCTATGGAAATGGGAAGATCCAAGACAAGTCGCCGAGACAATTGATGATGCATGTCGCCAAGAGGATCTTCTGTATCGTGTTGACTTTGAACATTTTATATACGATGATTATTGATTTGTATTGTAAACAGAAAGTCGAGAAACATTTTTTTACAATGTTTATGCATTCAATTTTAATTATATTGTGAAATATATATATATATCATTAAGGCACGAATGAAAACTAAAACCGATGACAGCAACGCGTATACTAATTGAGAAATAAGCTAAGAAATATTTAGGCACGATGATGAATTAAATAAGATTATTTTATTGAGAGATTAAAAAAAACGTGTGTACCGCTTTATTCGTTTGTTCGAGAATTTGTTCCAAATTCGCTGAGAAGAAAAAAAACAGTGTAAGTACTACCTACAAACCAACCTGACAAATTTTCAGTGACAATTAACTGGTGCTAGTGAGTTTGAATTGTACTTGAGAGAGAAAGAAAGACCAGAATTGAATCGAACTCAGTTGGATATTGCGTGATTTTGTGTCTTATTTGATTTTATTTTATTTATTCCTGATTATTGGATTATTTTTAGATTTTCTTCTTCTTCTTCTTTTACTAACAAATACAAAGTTCATTTTCTGACACATAATCTTTCTAGTCGGTTTGCTGATGAAAGATGAAATTGTCAAAAAAAAATCAATCACATCGTTTAAAATGCTCATCAATGATATACTACAGGAACTCCAAAGTCTAAATGACGTATAAGCAAAAAATAATACAATTGAAAATCTTACAAAAAAAAAACCTTTAAGCATTCCAATTACTCAATTAATTCTGGAGTCCTTCATAGTGTGAAGTTCACAATTTCATATAAACTGTAACAACAGGTAACTTAGTAGGAAATCTGTGAAAATTTTACAGACTCAGCTTAAACAATGCGATAAAACACATTAAAATTTCATGAACTATGACTTGATAAACGTCGACAAAATCAGAAGGAATAACAATGAAATATTTGGTAAAATAGTTTTCGACGTTGAAGCGGGACATTTGCCATCGTCTGTGGCAAATGGGCCAATTTGAGCGGCATGTGCCATCAGCAGAGGAATGTACGACTGTTCATAGTTTCCAATAAACAAATGCGATTCTGGTCCCGATGCATAAATACCGACGTCTTCAGCGCCGTGCGTTTCCGACAACAAGGGAATTGTGGCTGGATATCGATGGAATGGATTGGAATAATTGTAAATTGACAAATCGATCCGGGAGCCATTTTCATTGTACGTGTGATAATATCCCATGCCGTTGGCGTAGCTCAAACTTGTGTACGGTAGTCCATCTAGACCGATGGCTGTGTTCAATCCAAGAATATCACCGCCACGTTTCTGTAAAGGGAATTTTATTGTATTTTTATTTCAACTTTGATTTTAATCGAAGAAATGTTCTGTTTCTTCATCGATTGAATAAATTTTGTGAATAGAAAGCCAATTCCTTAACTTACCGAGTAACCATTGTATGTCATCGTGTGGCTATGATCGGCTGTCACCACAATCAAAGTGTCATCTACACTCGTCATATTTCTGGCCAGTTCAATAGCTTTGGAAAATTCACGAGTTTCATCGAGTGCGAAGCGCGCATAATTGTCGTGATGGGCCTTGTCAATAAGTGCACCTTCGACGAATAAAAAGAAACCATTTTCGTTGTTTTGTCGCTGCAAATGTTTGATGGCCGCTTCGGTCATTTCGCTAAGTGTTGGTTTCGCCAGTTTTTGCTCAACAATTTGGAGATTGTACGGAAAATGTCCATGATTGAACAACCCAAGCACATAATCTGTGTCGTTTCTAATGGTGTCGAGCCCTCGCTTATCGTGAACAAACGTGGCATTTCCTTGTTTGTTCCGACATTCCACCCATTCTTTGATCAAATCACGATTATCACCACGTTTACCGGGTTTCTTCTCCTCATCCAGTACTGATGAATCGCGGAACTCTTCGCGTCCACCGGCCAAAACAATTTTAAATTTTTTACTCACTTCATTTTCGACCAATTGTCGTGCAATGTCAATTGTTTCGGACGGATCACATCCATTTTTACGCACATCTTTATCATTTTGCCAATAACGATTTGCGATGTCTAATCAAGTGTGAAAGTGAAAGGTAATAAATTTTGAAGAAATTTCAAGAAAAAATAAACGGAGAAATAGAAATGATTTATGAATGTTGCCATTATATGTGCAAAATATGTTTGTCAAGTACCGGAACGCAAAAAACTAAGAAAATGTCAGCTATCCTTAATGCGCAAAATTACTTCAGATTCTTATCATTTCTTATCATCTAGTAATTGAATTTTCTTTGGTACGTACGTGCGTAGAGTCCACCGGGCGAAGCATCTGTGACCTTGCTGGTTGTAACGAAACCGGTTTCTTTGCATTGATCTTGTGCCCATTTGGCAATGGAAACGGTTTGTTTGCTGGGATCATTTTGACCTTTGCAATCATTCAACGGCACCTTTGCACTTATACCCATTGTACCATAGTTTGCCTTTACCCCGCACAAATATGCAGTCGCTGAGCAAGCTGAATCGGCCACTTGTTTATCGACACAATAAGTCTGAAGAAAATATTCATTAAAGAAAGTAAATGTAGCTCTTTGTTCAAAAAAAAAATTCGATTAAATTTTCGATTTAATACATGATTGCACGAAGTAATTGCAAAATGGTTGATGTGTTTTGCAAGTGATGTACTCAATTTTATTTCTAACTTTTACTGTTCATACCTTTGACAAACCGAAATGAGCGAATTTTTCAAAGGACAAACTGTTTCTTTCATTGCCTAAATACATTCTGGCGGCCGCAACTGTGGTCAAAGACATACCATCTCCTAAAAACAATATGATATTTTTCGCTTTTTTCGGCTTCAGCTTCTTTTCCGGATCTTCGAGGACTTCTTTCAGGAAATTTTGTGCATTTTTTCGCCAAAAATCAGCATCATTCTCATTCAAATTGGCTTCGGAAAGCACCGACGGCTCTGCTTCAAGTGGGACGAATAGATCTTCTGCTTCTGAAAAAGAAAATTGGAGCAAAAATTGATGAAAGTTTTTTGGATTTAGAATAAAAAAAATTAGAATAATTATAAAATAAACAATAAAAAATTCAAATTGAGGCGTTCTTTTGATTAAAATTAAAAATGAAAATTTATTCCGAAGAAAATCCAAAAAAATATGACAGAAAAATCGAAAAGAAAAAAAGTTGAAGAAAAAGCAAAATCCAAAAAGAATTTAAAATTCAAATAACAAAAATCGCAAACAACAAAGAACTAAAAAAAAAGCTTGGAAGTAACTGAAACGTTGTTATCGAAAACAAAAAGTCACTCACCGAAGCAAAGGGCGGCATTAAACAACGAAAGCCCCACAAGGATGAGAATTCTCAAATAATTCGAGTTGATCATTTTTCAAGCGATTGTCTGAAAAACGAAAAGCCAATTAGCGTCAAAATGAACGAGAATCGGTTGTGCACGGTCTGTCGGTTGGTGGCTGACTGATCGCTAAAATGTTGTCTATAAAAAAATTTATACACAGTTCATTTGTTTTATTGGGTTGATACAGTTTACAAAGAGCAGCACAACACGTTCGGTTAATTGCTTGCGTGTGTGTGCTTGCGCATTTAGCAGACTATGAATTATTATTTCTTCAATTTTTTTGCTCTCCGTTCCCTTGTCGATGTCGCTTATCAAAATAGTCACCCGGTCGACCGTGTGTATGTGTATTTTTGAAGCGCGCCAAATGTGATTGAATATAAAGAAAATTGTTTCATGAAAATTGCGCTATAAATAATTACAATGTTAAGCATTCTTTTGTTTTCGTTATCATGCGCTAACCTTTGTTGGGCTGTTCTCATGTTCTCACGTGTCGGCAATATTCAGCTGTATTATATCGCAATTTGAACGATTTCTATGACCGAATGCTACATTTCATTCCATTATCATGAAAAGGGTTAATGAAATCTCAGTAACAAATATGACCATACATAAGATCCATTTTTTCAGCTCATAAATCTTGTATAGAATTCTGTGAATTCAAACTGTGAATGTGTGTTTGAGAGATGTGACGAATTGACGAATTAATGTCAGCGTGTTGCTATTAAATGTTGACGGTTATTATTTTCACGACGAATTTTAATCTCTTTTTCATATTTCTTTACCATCATAAAATTAAAAAATTAAAAAATTAAAAAATTAAATGATGATAATTCCAATTTGCCATATTTTGCCTTCGTTCAAATGGAATTAATTTTATTGAACCACAATTTCATGAATATTTCTATTCCATTTTTCGTATCGAATATATTTAAAATGGGAATTCCATTAAGTATCCTCCCGAGATCGCGGCAAAAACTCGATCAGAGAATGTCAATTATACACTTGGTCAAATTGAATGTTTCCGATGATAATCAGGAAGGAACGAGGCGTAAATAATTGGCTAATCATTTAAAATTTTAACAGCTGTTCCAAGCTGCGGTGAACATTTTTCAAATTAGCAAAAAAAAATTGAACCATAAACGATGCACGAAAACAATTGTTATTTTGTTCATAAAATCACGTGTCATCATGAAATTTCACGCATTCGTATCTGTGTAATGACTTTCTTTGTCAGTTTAATTATTAGCAATTTTGTTTATTGTTTACATCAATGTGTGCTCGGTACACAGACACTCAGTAGACGTTTGATTATCCAAATTTCCATTTGACTTTGAATCATGATTTTGGGATGTTTTTCGAAGAAGGGAAAATCAAAGGACGCAGGGTGTAATCAGACTAAATGATGATTTTGATAAACAAATATTGCGGTTACGGTCGTGATCATCATCCTATTTTACAAACGTTCATCTCGAAATTAGTTCAAGTTTTAAAATAGTTTTGGGAGGCAACATAATCAGTAAAATCATGCCATTCAGTTGAAAAAATAATTTCCTCATAACAGAATTATTCAATAGTGATGACTTGAATAATGTTTGAGATTATTTGTTCGTTTTTTTTCTTCTATAGTTAACATTCACGTGTGGATCACGTTCGACCGATAAGTGAAACTTGCGCTTGTTTACTTCAATTTTTACTGCTTGTGTTGATTTCGTTCACTTCCCCCAGTCGGTCAAGAGGCTGGCATTTCGTAATTGTTTGCCAAGGCCGTGATAACAGATTTATGAGAAAAACTTTCAAATCTCTCAATTTACGGTATAACAGACAAAAAAGACATCGTTCAGCCGTTCTAAATTTGAATTCTTATCAATTTAACACAAGAGTTCAATGATTTTATAGCATCAATTCCACATTTAGCAAACGCGATCTCAGCGCAGAAATAATAATTTAATAAAAAAGAATTTTAATCAATTATAATTTGTGATTACATTTCGAATCAAGTAATAAAATTTTGTACGCCTAGCTCCGCAATACACACATACGCTTCACGAGCGCCAAGCGAGAAACGTGACTACAGTTTTTTTTTAAATCTCGCTCAATTATACATATTCAATGTGCGCACACGTTTTTCTACTGATATTTCTTTCCATCTCTCAGTCAGTCATTTGTTGTTTTTTCCTGTGGTGGTTTTTGTCGATGTGTGTTCCAGTGTAATAGCTATATTTGTACAGTTTATTGTAGCTCCAAATCGAAAATGTCACATCACATAAACAAAACGAAATTGAGTGCTGATAATCTCCTTATAAATTGTAAAATTTTTTGTCATTTATTTTCAGTTGAATTTACGTTTATCCAGCGACAGGGCACACTCACAGGTGGCTGCAACAAGAAAACCGATTCCGACCGATTCGATTTGAACGAATAAACGAAGTTAGAATGAAGTGGTGCGCTGTGTTTTTGTTAGTGGCTGTCATCGTTCAGCGAGACCAAGTCTTTGCAAAGCCTGGATTTGACGGGATTCCGGAATTGACACTCAATTCAATTTTATATCAACACGAAACGCATCGAGACTATCATCTACAGAATGGCGTCGAATTTGTCAAGAAGCAAATTGTTAAAACATCAAAGTTGAACAGAAACATTGCGAAAAATGCAATTCTATTCTTGGGCGACGGAATGTCAGTTCCAACACTGGCTGCAACTCGCGTTTATATCGGCGGTAAAGATTTTTTCCAATTTTATTCGATTTTTCCTTCAATTATTTTCATATTTTCAAGAACTTTTTTTTCAACTTTTTTTCAAACTTTGCATCTTTTTATATTTCACTTCATTCTCAATTCATTCCTTTATCTCAATTCTTCGATAACCATTGCGTTGTTCTTTTTGAATCGAGTTTAATTTTTGATTTTGTACAACTTTCCTTTCAATTCACAGGCGAAGAAAAGTCATTGTCATTCGAAGAATTCCCCTACGTAGCGATGTCGAAAACATATTGTGTCGATGGGCAGGTGGCCGACTCAGCGTGTTCAGCGACAGGTACTTATATTTCGATTGAAATGAAATTATTTGAAATCAACTCCATCCATCTGTCAGATAGCATCTGAAATGAATCGTTGATTTGAAATAAAATTAAATATGCTTTTTCTGTTCATGGCGTTAACTTATTTAGAACTTTACTCTTTTCTCTAGCCTATCTGACTGGTGTAAAAGCTAATGACGGCACAATCGGCGTCAGTATAATTTGTTTGTTTGATGTGTTGCTGTTTATTTGTCTCTATTTTCAATTTCATTTATTTGATGTTCAATTTTCGTGTTTAGGTGAGTGCACAAGTGCCGCGAAAGCATTGTACAGCCGGAAATAATAAGGCCCATCATACACATTCGATTGCACAATGGGCGTTTAATGCCGGCAAATCTATCGGTCTCGTCACAACCACCCGAGGTACTCATTACATATTCATGCCTTTTCAATCACCACAGAATTCACGTGTATTTCATATCTAACCATTTGTGTCACTATTTTTCTCTATTTAACAGTTACTCACGCGAGTCCATCAGGTGATTTTTGATGCACATGTTCAAAACGTGATCTCGTTTTGTTCCATTACTCCTCTTTATTCAATCTTTTGTTTATTTTCGATATATTCAGGAGTCTATGCACATATTGCCGATCGCGATTGGGAGTGTAATACCGATGTGAAAAGTGCAAACTGTGATGATGAAGTCGTCGATGACATCGCTGAGCAATTGGTGCATGGTGAGGTGGGAAAAAATCTGAAAGTAATATTCGGTGGTGGTCGTTACAATTTCATCAATGAAAGCACAGTAGATGAACAGGGCAATGCTGGCAAACGAACCGATGGCAAAGATTTGATCACCGAATGGATCAACAATCACAAACCAAACGAAAAACGCTCGTATGTGTGGAATAAAGTGAGTAAGAATTCTTTTTGCGTTGTTCCAATTCAAATGTTTGCTTATTTCTTCGTTCAGATTGAAACGTTCAATTTTTTCTTATTAACTTTCAGAATGGTTTGTTATCGCTTCACCCGTCTGCAAATGAGAGTGTTTTGGGCTTGTTTGCACCCAGCCATTGTGAATATAATCACAAAATTGATGGTATTTCTGATACGGCGCCGACCTTGAAAGAAATGACAATGAAGGCCATCGAAATTCTGCAAACCAATCCAAAAGGTTTCTTTTTATTTGTCGAAGGTGGTCGAATTGATCACGCATTGCACGATACTCTTGCACACATCGCACTGGAAGAAACGGCCGAATTCTCGCGGGCCATAAAAGTCGCCACGCAAATGCTCAGCACCGATGATACGTTGTTCGTTGTTACAGCCGATCATGCACACACCTTATCATTTGGGGGATATCCCGTAAGTTATTTATATTTGACTATTTCTCCGTTGCACCAATTTTAAAATATATTTTCCCACTTCAAAACTATTTACGTAATGGCTTTTGTTCTGGAATTGATGTTTTCGAAAACAATTCCAATTATCGTTCAGAAGCATGTGATTGATTTATAACTCGACAGTAAATAACAATTGTTCATTTCAAACATTCATTAGGACAGAGGCAGTAATATCTTTGGAGTAGCTTCACGTGGCGATGACGATCATAAACCATATTTGAAGTTGAGCTTTGCCAACGGACCAAGCTATGTGCCTAGAAATAGCAGTCAACGTGAAGATCCAACACAAGACGCAGCCAAATTGAATGATTTCGATTATTTGTCACCGGTAACGGTGCCATTGGAAGGTGAAACGCATGGCGGTGATGATGTGGTGATTTTCGCTACAGGACCACATGCACATCTTTTTTCTGGTAGCATGGAACAACACACTATCCCACATTTCATGGCTTATGCCACTTGCATCGGCGATGGAATCACTCATTGTAACAAATCAAAAGGCAATTAATTCAATTTCAACTGTCAATAAGCCATTGCAGTATAGTTTAATATCAAATTATTGTAATGTAAACGAACTAAAATTAAGAGTGAAATTGAATTAAGTTTAATCAAGACAAAGAAAAACAATGTATACAATTGTCTGAGGTCTGAAGTTAGATCGTTGTTTTATTTAGTAGAAAAAGTATTGACTCAAGAGGAAAAATGATCATGTTTTGACTCAGGGTGGTCTTCACGACACTGAACATTTTTCATTTTTAAAATAAATAATTCAAATTTTACGATACTACTCGTTTCATGAAAAGAAAAGGTTTTTTCACAGTAAAGGTAATTGTGATTGCAGTCACATGAGCGATGCGATTAAAATGGCCTATGAAATTCAAGCAGAATGTAAACGTTCACCACGTTTCAGCCGTTACTTATTGACATACTTTGTTCGAATGAGTTGCACGTGTCGTCATCCCTTTAATTTTTTTTTTGCACAGCCGTTTTGCTCGTGACTTTCTTCACTCCTCTAGTCAAAACTCTTCGATAAGCTCTGATGATTACAAGTTTTAACAGACAGAACATTTAAATGTAGGTCAGTTGCTGTTAATCGTCCGTATAGAACGTCGCCGGATAGGAATAAAAATAAGCGTTGTGATGTTCATAGTCACTGAAATGAGAATGAAAAAGGCTACACTGTAAAATGAAAAACCGATTTAGTTTTCTGGATCAATGGTTTATTATTGTAGATTGTTGTTTTTCATCTCTCAAATGATTCACAAGTCATACACGTGTTCGGTCGATTAAGTGTTTTTTTCGTCGTCATCGTCATCGTCGTTTTTTTGTTGTGGTTTTATTTGTTCGCATATGTTTTCCATATATTGTCCTCGAGATTTCAACTTATCGCCTATGAAAATCGTATTTTGGCCGGTAAATCATCGATCACGAAACTCACGCACACACACACAATCGGAATGTTATATTTATACACGCATATACTGCCCGCGATGGTGATGGAAGTTGCCAGTGAGACTTAACAATAGGAATATTGTTCGATTTTTTAAAGCATTCAGTTCATTTACAGTGGTTATGAATATTGAATGTGAAAATTCATTTGTTGCAACAAGACTTATCTCATGGATTTGTTTCGGTCATTTTCTACTAGCATATAACTACATACGTTCGTTTGTAATAGATAGATTTGAGTGTGTGTTTTTGTTTCTTTGTTGTTATGTGTGAGGATATTTGTTTTTTTTTAAAGAAGGACGTGACTCAGCACTGAAAACTGTAGACTCTCCGTATTAAAATCGTATCATCAGTCTACTCAGTCACAGTCTTCTTTCGTATATGAAAAAATGAATGAACTATTGAAAAATATTATAGATATTTTTCCCATTGAAACGATCCGAATTTTAGATATTTTTTTTTACTCTAATCTCATCAACGTTTACTTATTAATGTCGTAGAATTATTAATAAACAATCCATTTATAGAATAATTTGAACGCTTTTGCACACCCACATTCATAACTACACTCAATGGTTATAATTTGAACATTTTGTAAATATGTCTTTTTTGTTGTTTTGGTTTGATTACTTTTTCGCACGTCTATGCCGTGCGTAAAAGAATTTGGTTTGGTTTTAGTCTGAATAGTAAATATTTGTATTTGTGTTAGGTTAAAAAAAAAAAAGAATTCAAATGGAATAGACTCGAAGAGATACATTTTGTTTTGTTTTGATGTTGAAAAAAAAATTGAGCTTGCGTCATATTAAATTGACTGTCACTCAACGCATATTCAAAAGAACGCGGCTGCAAATTCGACCTTAAAATTCCATGAAACCATTTTTCTCTGGTCTTTTTCAGCTATTTTTGCAACATTTTGCCATAAGGTGTACACTCCTTTCTTCATTCAACTACATCAAAAAAAAAAAGATAAATAATCGAAGGAACGTTTCTCCAGCCGCATTATTTCGATTATTCATAGCGATTCCAATGTGATTTCCTCACTTTGTGCCAGTTTTCACATTAAAGCATCTTTTTTTTAAAGCCATATGCCATTGCAACAATGGCCAAGAACATTGATGAATATTTTAATAAAACACTTTTATCATGTGTTATTTGTTTCCCTTCTTCATGTACTGATTATTACACACATACAGATATATTTCACATCCAATTTGGTTTATAATTCATGTTGATTTAATTAGATTTTTAGTTTTATTTAGTGAATATTTCATGTTTTTTATTTTCATTGTCAAATTATGTGTTGTTATTCAGATAAACTTGTTTTTTCTGGTTCTCTAGAATGTTGGTTGCTCTTATTGTTCAGCTAAAGTAGACTTCAGATAGATGATGTGATTTCTCATCTGTGGTATACATGAAATTGGTTGTAATACAAAAAAAAATAGTTCTAATTCACGTCATAAATGGATCTTCTGTACTATAATTTTCTTTCTACTCTCCGCTTCTAATCGATAAATGTCTTTTTTTAAAGTTTTTTTTTTTAAATTTTGGTTAAGAGTTATCATATAAGTTTTTTTTTGTTCAATATATACTTTGATGTAAATATCAATAAGTGTTACAGTAATAAATAGTTTTTTTTTCTCGTATGTTTTATTGTATAAGTAGAGTATATCAGTGACATTAAAATTACAACTTCAATTATTTTGCACATGTCCATTGTCGATATTTGCAAATCCAAGAGAAAGAAAAAATACGGGCCAAATCAAATCAATTGGATATTGAATCTGAGCCACATATTTTTCATTGTATCGTATATATGTTTTTGTTTGTTTTAAACTAAATTCCGTTTTGAGAGTAATACGCGTTGATTAGACCTATCTAAAAGTATCTGTATATCTCCTGTCAATGATACAATTATATCGTAGCAGGGCAAAACGCTCTGGAATTTTAAATTCGATTTCATTGGATAGTAAGAGTGTATTTTGTATCGAAAAAAAAACTAACTCTTTTGTTGAGTGGTATTAGAGAGTGTGTATGTGTGTGTTGTGACCAGTGCTTGAATCTCTTAGGAGTGCAATTTATTTTATTGTTGGTTTCTCTACTAATTTGAGGCCAAATGTTTTTGCTAGTTACTTAATAAACTGAAAATGTTTGTTTTCATTTATAAATCGATTGGAATCAAAAATAATTTTCAATGAATACAGCGTGAAATTAGGCCAGATGGCTGGAAGCGTCGATTTTTTTTCAGTTTTTAAGCATTAATTTGGTAAAATATTTCCTTTTGATAAAGAGGACAAAAACTAAAAGCGACTGCTTTGAACGCTAACTGTTTAAAGCGGGAAATTGATATATAAATGGTTGGTTAAGCTGTTGAAATCGGTTTACCTATTTGATGGTTGCCTGTTTGTACTGCTTTCGCTGCTGTTGCATTGTACACGAATTTCATATTTATTTAACTACGGAAATATCTCATTATTGCAGTTAACATCTCAATAAATTGCATTTTTCTCTCTAGATTAGAAGTTTGGTTTAGATCATAAAAATATAATCGATTCTCTCCGTATTATCATTTAACGAATGAATGACTGAGTGTTGTTATAATATGCGGGGATTCATGCGAAGGTCCTGCATCTAAGCGTCTGACAGCTCACTTCTAGCGCTACGAGAAAAGTGTCAAAAGCTGTGACACAGATCGTTCAATGTATTATTGAATCTTTTTTATATTTGTTAATAAAGTAGACAAAAAAAAATAAAAATGTCACGAATGTGTAAAATTGATTTTTGTGAGAGCGTAGCACGTGATAAACATCAATTTTTTAAGTAAAAAATGTTTCTTTCATTACGGAACATTGTTGATGCGTTCAATTTGTCGCGTTCATGAATGCGTCTAACGACGTAAAAAATTGAAATGAACTTCACTGAATGCGCTCATCGCAAATTCGTGTTTTACTTTGTTTTGTTAGTGTGGTGCAGGGGTTGTGGATTTATGGTAATTTTCATTGATTTAATTTTTTTTTTTGTTCACAATGCAAATAGTGTGCGCAAATGTGTCATTATGATTCCATTTGGTCAATTATTCAGTTAAATCTTAGAGTAGATACTTAAAATACCATTAAATATCAATATAATATAGGTTTTAATTCATCTGTTACTGTGTGGGTGAGTGATTTTTTTTTCTCCATTAAAATGTCTGTTTGTCTGTCATTGTAAAGTACATGTATAGTGTAATATTTTGATTATTTATGGAAGCATAATTCATTGATTTGAATTTTGCATTTAACCTTCGTCGTCGTCGTCGTTTTTTTTCTTCTTTTGTATTTCGTGACTACAATGAACGGTAGACGCGATGTAACGTTGCTGCAATCAAATGGGTGTTGTACTTGTTTCAGTTCAAAGTGATGTCAAAACCATATTTTCCGCATAAATTACTGCAATTTCATGGATGCGACTGAAGTACAATAAGCTCTCTCTTCAAATGGTCTTGACATCGCATCAAAATGAGCAATTTACTGCACTTTTCACACAATTTTCTCTCCTTTTCGGTTTTTTTCATTCTACGTTTATCAACGGTTTTTGTTGTTGCTCTTTTTCATCATTTTATCCGCATTCATAAATATAAAATCGAAATGGTAAATCAATAAACTTATGTTATAGAAACTAATTCCCAAAGGAAATCAACTGTGTTTTTTTCTTCATGTTTTTTGTTGTTGCACCGAATATTTTTTGCTGCTAAAGCGGATTATACAGAGAAAATAAAATATCCAGAATAGATCTCTATCGCATCTATCATACTATTAAATGACGAAAATATCTACTGCTGAGTGTGTGTGTGTTTGTAATTTTTTTTTATATAGATTTTTTTGTGATTTCTGTGAACCGTCGTGGGTGAGCCATAGCATTTTTTGCCGAATTTTAACTATTTCTTGGCAGTTAAAATCATAACGAATTCTGCAGGAAAAGAATCGGAAGCAATTAAAATCAAACGTATGGGAATATGAGCCAAAAAGACTCTATTTTTTCTTCTTCAAAAAGTGAAATAAATTGTGCTAAATTTTACCATCGCAATTAATACGTACCTTCGTAGTTAACGAAACCGTCATTGTCTGAATCAGCTTCCTTGATCATATCGTCGACCTCTGCATCCGATAACCGTTCGCCCAAGTTAGTCATAACGTGACGCAGTTCGGTCGCCGATATTAGGCCATCGTTATTTTTGTCGAACACTCTGCTCAGCACAATGCCAATGACGAACCAGCAAGAGAGAGAGAGAGAGAGAGAGAGAGAGAGAGAGAGAGAGAGAGAGAAACAAATGATTGTAACATTGTCAATGTCAAACGTGTTTGGAACATTTTTGACACGGCACAGCGCATAACTATTTTAATCTCACCTGAACGCTTCCTTAAGCTCATCTTCGCCTTCAGCTACTTTCATCTTTTTCGACATCATTAACAAGAACTCGTTGAATTCAATTGTTCCATTTCCATTAATATCAACCTCATTCACCATGTTACGAAGTTCATTTTCTTTTAGATGGATGTGAGAATAGTGTGGAAATACGGACAATGAAGGAGAGAGAGAGAGAGAAAGAGAGAGAGAGAGAGAGAAAAAGAAAAAGAGAAGAGAAAAGAGATAGAGAGAAGACCATAAGAGAAAGAAAAGGAAATTGGAATTCAAATATCGAACGAGCGAACATATTTGACACATAAAGAGTCTATATACAAAATACGAGCACACATACCACTCGGTCGTTGTCCCAACGAGCGCATTACAACACCCAATTCAGCCATGGTAATTGTGCCATCTTCATCTTTGTCGAACAGCATAAATGCCTCCTTGAATTCTGTTTTCGGTGTGCAGTAAAGAAATTAAGCGCTTGTTTTAATTCTAATTTTCCGAATGTTTCACGTGATTTCATGCAAAACTGAACATTTTCTAAGTTATCTTACCTGCAACTTGTTCCTCCGTTAGGCCATACTCGCTCTGTTCGTGGGAAAATGGGAGAAAACAATCCAAATTATCGAATGTTCAATCTTGTCAATTTTGTGTAACAAAAACAATTAACATTTCGATGAATTTCCCTCCCTCAATACCATGCTACCCCATTCCCTCATGCTGGAATCGCTTAAATTCACGTTTATCTAAATTGTTAGTGGTCGTTTGGCGCCACCGAAAAACTTACAGATCCTTCAACAATATCCGTTTGACTGGTGAGCGTTCGCAAGCGACGATATTCTTTATTGTATATCTCGTCGTTAGCAACTACGACGCCATCGGATGCCATCTCGAAATTCGCTTCAACTTATTTGTTTTGTTTGGCATTCATTGCCGTGAAATAGCTGCACACCATTCACGAAATTTTCAGACGCGTCAACGAAACGTATACGTATTCTATGGAAACCGCTATTCGTTTTATTGCATTCAATCAAGCACAACAGCAATAAATGCACCAATTTAATATTTATTCTCTATCTTTATTTCTATCTCTGTGTGTCTCTTTTTGCACACGACCGTGAGTGAGATATTCCTTGTTCAATTGTAATAAAGGATGATGTTTGAGTGCATTTTATGACACTCGCAAATTAATTTTCCTATCTACTTGAACACGGAACAAAAACGTGTAAACTGCTTCGTTTATTACGCACTCTTTTCCCACGGAACCGACACCGTGAAAAAATGATTCTCTTCTGTTTGGAAAAATCAAATTCCGAGATTCGCACACGTTGATTCGAATGGGTTTATTTTTAGCGCTGGCTTTTGATATGATCCGCTCTCGCACACGTTAGATTCTCTATCTCGGTTGTTGATTATTCAAATGTTTACGTTGACTCTGTTTACGTGTACACTCATTCAGCTCAACGACTCAAAACATTGGAAGCACACACACACACACGAGCGCTCCCGCGTGAAAGAAATAGCGAAAGCGTGGAAAAAAAATTCGGTGTTGCCGTGAAAATATTCAGTAAAAGTATTTGCATATTGATACGGTGCCAGTGCTTAATGTGGATGCAACTTTTCGATATTTGGCATCATGCTGAGGTGCACTCGGCCAAATCATTCAACACACAGCAAATATTGGTTCTCGCCTGGAAACGAGAAACGAAATTTTTTAACACTCTTTCGCGCTCTCTCTCCCCCACCCTCTCTATCCTACTCTGCCATTGAACAACTTTATCGTTTCAACGCTATTCGAATCGTGTTTTTTTCTCTTCTTTTCTAGTTCAGTGTCGAGTCTATGTGTCACAATTCCCGTACGACGAGAACGTGATTCCGATGTGTGTTAGTGTAGTTTATATATATGTTTGTTCTTTTTTTTTCTTCTCGCTTGGCTCTGGATTCTTTTGTTCTGACTCACGAAAATTTAATAGGAAGTTCGGAAAATGGTTTTCAAATGACAGATCAATTCGGGCCAACAATCGTTGTTTGTTTGTAGAATATCTTCGTTTTTTGCTCTCGGTGTGTGTGTGTGTGTGTGTGTGTGTGTTTGTGATAGAGAGAAAAGTTTTTTTTCCTACAAAACAAGGTCTTGTGCTCACCAAGTCGATTGTCACATTGACATCGTAGATTTGCTTCTTTTTCTTTTGCTTTTGTCCGGGTCGGGTTGGTGCTGTTGTTGGTGTTGTTGCCGTGACAGGTTTCATCGACGGATTTGTCGATAGTTTGCCATTCAACGATTGCGATGAACCTTTCGATGTGAATGGTGGTTTGTTGGATGTTGGCGTTGTTGCCGAACCTTTATGGTGATGGCCATGTCCGACGGATCGTTGGCCGCTTGGTGTACGCTCGCGTTGCGGATGCTGTCCATGCTGCTGTTTAATCTCACGGCTTCCATCGGCTGGCTTGTTACGAGCCTAAAAACGAAACAAAAATGAAATATTATTCAATTAAATTGTACGAAATGATCTGGAATAGGAATGAGCGCGGGAATATGATGCCAAGCAAATCGGTGTATTTATTCGTTCATGCGAATGCCTGTAATTAAAATCAAAGTAAACCAGCTAATGATACTAATCGAACTTTTTTTTGTCGGTGGATAGATGAAACTTTGTAATATGAAAATGAAAGAGGATTTTATTTTCTATTTCCCGCAGCATTGAGTTTATGCTACTGTGAGCGCACACCGCGAAAACTTTCCATTTTCGGCCATTAGCTGATGGTGTTGAGCAAAGCATGCACAGTAATGGTAAAAGTTTATCTGGCTTACAACTTATTCCATTTCGATTTTTCCATGGGCATATTGTCATTGTTTAAAGAAACACATAAATAAAACTATAGAGCGAAAAAAAAGATCGCTTGTAATTAAGGGGAACACACAGAGGGACAGACGCCAAGAAAGAGGGCCCGTGCACTAGTGGTTTCCATGCAGATTCACAACAATACCACGGCTTTAGCTCAACTTTTTAGCTTTTATAGCACACAGGCACACACACACACACACACACACTCTATACGCGGGCAAGAACATATTCAGTTCAAAAAGTCACCATGATTTATTTTCGCCATAGCCAACCAATGCACCAAAAGGTTAAACGAACAAAAACGGCATGTGTGCGGCTTTTATTTAGTTTTGCATATGACAGAGAGGCCATTCTTGTTGCTGGTGGTGGTGTTTTTGTTGTCGCTGGTTTGTTCGTTGTTTGTTCCCGCCTGGTCACACATATGTGCGGATCCCAATTTACATTGCCGGAATATGGCTTCGAAAGTTAATTGACGACGTCACGGTACCGAGAAAAAAAAGAGTACAATCACATAATGCTGGAGCATCGTTGGCAAAATCAGTGTGTGTCTGTGTAACTGCGCATTGCATTTTCCGAATAATTACAGTTTCCTTTATTTTAATGTGGATTCATAAAGTCCCATATCTGTGTCGTCTATCTCGTTCGATCAGCTGTTCGAGTAAATTGCCAAAGTTGACAGGATTGTGGCGTAGAAGCGAAAGAGCGCATTCTCATTCAGTATCATCTGATTTCGGCTTGAACGACCAACATTATCATTTACAATACAATTATGAAACAATCTCCATATGCCAGTCAATGGGTATGCGGTCCAAATAATGTAATTTCCATTTCAGATAATACTCCCGGGGCAAAGCGCTTTCGTATGTATACACACAAAACTTCATTCAAGAAATGCGCATTTCCATTCGTTTTATGATAATGCTCTCATACAGCTTGATGGCACAATAATGGGGGCACCCGTGTGCAAATAAAATGACTAACAGTCACTCAGTTGTATGTAACTGTATGTAGTGATACACGACTAAAATAACTTAGCCATTGATTGAAATCATGCGTTTTGAATGGAGACAATCACGTTTAGTTATTCTTTCAGTCAGTCGACTAATTTGGCACATTTTGACTAAGATTGATTTGTGATTTACTGCAGTTGCTTATTTTGTTCGAGACAATCACTTTTAGTCAGTCAAAATGTCCCAAATAAATCGACCCAAAAAATTTCCACACGGGCAGTTACCAAAAATGGTCGTAGTTTTTCGTTTTTTTTCTCGCTCTCTCGTTTTGCTGCTCGTCCATATCATTGATCGTTCTTGACTATCGCTTATCACTTGTCGACCAGAATGAGCTTATGAAACACACATCATCATCAAATGGGCGAACGAGCGAGCGCAGAATCGGGTATTCTGTTGAATTAACCGCAATTCGTTAAGTGGATTTACGTTGAATGTGTCTACTATACGGTGACCACTCTAAGCCGTTTTTTTCTCAATGATGTCGTAAATCTTCTTTTTTTCGCACAAATATATTGTCATTATCTCAATTTTGATACGTTTTCATTGAATTTATTTGCTTTATATTTAGGTAAGCCAATTATTATCGATATAGTTTTTTCGTTCATCTTTTCAGTATTTATCGTTTAAACAAGTCATAATTTATATGAAATAAATTCATCGATAAATTCAACGAATGAGATATCCATGAATAAAACATGCGCCGGGGCTAATTCAATCGATCTCAAATCCGATTTTATTATTCATTATACATCAGGCAAATTAATCGAACATTGATTCATAAGTGGGTATAACATAGGAGGGAGTTTTAATGGCTATTTTTTTTGTTGAAGATGACTGAAGATGATGTATTAATAATAATTTGTTTGTGAAGCATAAATCGGTTTTGTTGTCGAGGATAAAAATGTGTTGCATCTAATTCAAGTGTCTAATCTAAAAAAAAATGCTGCTATTGAGTTGAATATGGTGGAATATGCGATTTGTTGAATGTTGAGTGAAAAGGAAAAAAAAATCTAGCTAGTTTAGTGAGTGGCAGTCTTTTAGTTTGGTTTTGATGGAGGAACCACTAAGAACAGATACCTGAGTGTCACTCCTAAAGCTACTTGTGCTGACACTTCGAGCCTGGAAAAACGATAGAGATGACAGAAAGAGAGAGAGAGAGAAAGACAAATAGATAGACATTAAGGAAGAAATAGAAATTTAGAAATGAGAGAGCGAAAGAGAGTGCGGATAAAAAACAACATAGCTGAAAAAATTTTTGCTTTTCGAAACGAATTAAGAGAAAAGCTCTAACTAATGCTAACTGTATTAAAAGAGATTTTATTTGATTGCATCCGATTTGTAATTTGGTGGTCGATTTTCGTTTCGGTTTTACTCGAAACAGCAACAAAACACACATATTTTATCCGATTCGAAGTTTGAACATGGTCGAGAAAACATTTTTGACGATAGAAAAATATATGTTTCCCCCAGCGAAAAATAAAAGAAAAACTAAAGTTCTGTGTTCAAGTCATATGTTTTGTTTTCGTTCTTTTTTTACATCAATATACCTTGCTCCGTGTTCGGGGTGGTACAAAATCCTCTTTCGACTTTCGTCGCTTATCTTTTAATATCATACGCGCTGCTGCAAAGGCCATTTCTTCGTTCGTTTATTTTCTTGTGTCCGTTGTTTATGATTTGCTTGCTGCTGCTGTTGTTGTTCACTTCTTCGAGTTTTATGTCTAAGTTTTTGGTATTTCTCTTTCAGTTTCTTTCTTTCACTGTTCAAACGATAATAATCTTTCAATCAACGCCACTTTTCGCTGCATATTAAAATCACACGATGAAAGTTCGTTCGTTTTGTTATTCTTTCTTTCGGTCGATTGCACGAATCACTCGCTGTCAATACTTCACTTGCGAAATGAAAGTTGGTTTTTTTTTTTTTCAATATTTCAAAATAAATTGCCAAGTTCTTGTCTTTTTGATTGATCAATATCGATGTGGAATCGATTAAATGGTATGACGTGCAAATAATCCGATGTTCGATTGCACTTTGTTTTGCTTGTTATTCGCAACAAACTTGCTGTATGAAAACGTTATAAGAACGAATCGATTTCGTTTTGCCTTCAAAGTCAACCGACTACGAACGACAACAACGACTACGAACACACATACAAAAACTTTGACTTTTCTTTTGTGGGTGAGTTCATCAAAGCTGTTGCAAAAGTTTTACGTTTTTTCCTTCTTTTATTTCCTTCTGTTTAAACGCAAACAGAGTGAGAATGTTTTCCACAAATGACCCCGTTTCGCTTTTAATCGCATATGCAAATGAAAGTTTTCGGATTATTCGTCCGCAAGTTCACTCCGCGTCGATGCTGCCATTGCTGGTGGTGGTACTGTTGCTGGCGGCCGATCTTACTGCACCAAATTCACCAAGTATACCATCCAAAATCCGAAAGGAATTTTATTCGCGAATTATTCTCTTTCTCTCTCTCTCTCTCTCTCTCTCTCTTTCTTTTTTTTGCTGGAATTAATCATCACTTTTAATGAAATCCTATTTGCAGTTTAAAACAGTTTAATCTGCAATATTTCATAATCTGCTCATGACAAGAGGAAAACGCGTTTTAATATTTTTGACTCTCTCTCTCTCTCTCTCTCACTCTTGTTCTCGCTCTCTGCCTCTCCGTTCGCAGTGTATTTGAATAGATTCTTCTTATGTTTCGAGGACTGCAGGAGAGGCCTCGCTTAATGAATGTATTATTTACATTTTATAACAAAAAGTTCTTTATCAAAAAGCGCTCATGGTGGAAAAATAAAATGATATATCATTCGGTATCAAATGACGGTGAAAATTATTTTGAGATAGGATTATGCGGCTTGAAATTTCAGGCATCCTGCATAATTTCTGTGTGGATTTGCTGAACGAGTGTGCACTCTATGCTTACATTCTTTTGCACCAGTTATAAT